ATTCCCATTGATCTAGCAATGGAACACTATCTAGGAATCATCAAACTTAATAAAAGAAAACTCGGTCCAAACCAAACCAATCCAAATATCATGGACTTTTATGTTAAAGCTCTTGTATATACTTAAAGCTTTTTAGATAGTTGTGATAACATGTGCAAGATAATAGGGCGATCAGGAAAACATTAATACAAAATATAAAATCATCAAAAAGCTTCTCACAGGAAAGGCTTTTGTATGCCAGCCAATCAGAAAATTTCATCATTCTGCCAGCCAATGGAGCTCACACGAACCCAGTGACTATTGCCTGGATGCATTATTTGAACAAACTCTGATGAGACAGCATCATAATTTCTTGCAGGTCCAAGGGTAGGCCACTGAAATCCTTCAATCATTGGGTTCTTCTCTTTCAAAAGAAACTGTGATTGATGTATGATCACATCGTTCATCCAACCATCTTCAGCTTTAATCGAAGACGAATCTTTTTAAGTCGTTTCTCCACTTCAAATAGTAAATATTAATAAATAGAATGTCAGAGTTTAAAAACAAGTTAAAATTTTAATTTCAGAATTTAAAAACATGTTTAGCACTTAAAGCCAAGGCTTCTTCAAAACATGTCTCAAGAAAGTTCTGAAAATTATTCTTTTGCAAATTTTTAAAAGTTTTATGCCCACCTAAGGCTTTTCTGGGTATTTTCACAATAGCTGAAAACACTTTTCTCAAGGGAACTGATCTAGCCTTAACTTAAATTTGGTACCTTGCTGTGGTGCCAAAAACCCTGGTTATTTTTTTGGCCAAGTGCATGACCAACTCTCCAGAGCTGGCTTCGCCACTGGATACAAATGGTCTCATTTGCTAAAAAATCTTCTGGCAATTGCACTTTTTGTAAAACTTTGCTTTCTCTTTTCCTTTGAGGTGGCCTGAATTCAGGTAACTTTCTGCAGTGTGGACAATATCACTTTTTGGGGGTTTTGGACACAGCTGATGGAAGAATGCAATCAATGTGAAATTCTTTGATTGAGCAAACATCATCTGAACAGGCGATAAGTGGCGATGATGAGGGTGTGTTGAAATAGCAAATATGGCTGGCTGGCACCTCTTTCAGTTTGGTCTTGCTAGTGTACCATCTCCCAAGAATTTCAGGAAGAATGCAAGATTTCCAAAATACCGTTAATTTTGGAATTCGGATTTCCCAATTGGTCTCATCTGGAAATATAAGCTCAAATACAAACTGGGCCAAACCTTCTTTAAAACCACATACAATTCATTGTACAATCCCTTTGTTGTGAAAAGTTGGCGTTGAACTTGATAATAGTAGGCATGTGACCTTTTCATGTATATTCTCCATGATGATCTTTCTCCAGACAAGACAATTTCTTTAAAACATAGTCCTCAAAATTGAACTCCTTCAAACAGTAAGGACATTTATCCTCACAACATCCTTCACCACAACAATCGCAAGAACAAAAAAGGTCACAGGTTGCATGTAGAAAAGGAAGCTCTCTTCATTTACAAGCAATTCACTTTTTGTGGCTTTAAAGTTACAATGATTTTTCACCATGTGTCTTTCATATGCCTGGATGGCACTAGCCTCATGTGTGCAACCATGACTTGTTCCCTTTAATGTAAATTGAAATAGCTGAGGATAGCAAATTGTTTTTATCAAGGATTGTGAAGGCAGAGCTGGGTTTGTGTGACAGGCTGCTTTGCTTTGTGAGGCCCAAACTCTTCCAGCTCTATGAATAAAAAAGCTGCACTTTGAGATTGTGACACAGCATCTCTTTCAATCTGCTTTATCTCCTCTTGTGTTATGCTAATAGTTGTTTCAAAGCACTTTTGTATCAGTTCAGGATAGGACTGCCTCATATAAGTCTCTTGAAAAAGATCTGGTATTTTCAGGATTTCATGACTTTTGAATACAAAAGAATCACTGTGATCATCAATAGTACTGAGTAGAACAGCCTTTGATTTGCTCTGCTGAGGGCCATATAAAATGCGGATAGATCCTCTTTTGTTGGCCCTTCTACAAGTTTAAATTTAGTTGCATTTGTTACCTTGTTCCCTGTTTGCTAATTCGCTTTGAGATTTAGTACTTTCTTATCCATTTCAGCCTTGAGCTTTTCGATGAAGCAAAATTGATGTCAGATAAAATTGATAGTAAATACTCAATATTATAAGAAACATTATTTTTTAGAAGCATTATTAACTCTATTGTGCCAAGTACTGTTTATTATGAAAAAATCAGTTTCAACTCCTCACTACTTATAACACTGCTTTTAGCTGAGCAACAAGAAAGATTATGGGTGGAACAACAGCAACAGGACAAAACCAGGGCAGCACAAACCCGAAAAAGCAACCACGGAAATAAAGGAGATGTGGCAGATTTTTGAAGGGGGATCTAAAAAGGGGTTCTTCTCATGACAACTAATGTTTCCCTGTTGACTTTCATTTTCATATTATTTATATTTCTTTATGCTATAACTTGTTTCATTAAAAATTCTAGGCAGGGCATTCCTCTGAACCATCGACCGCATTGCCTAACCTTTTTTTCCCTGCTGATTATAGAACAATATGGCATTTACCAGGCGTACCTGTGCATACCATGCCATTCGAACCAAATTCGTTGTGTGGTGCGACAGCCACAGGCTATCCAGATGAGTGAAACAGTGATTAAAGCGATCTATCCCCTTTAATGAATGAGAATACAATTGATATCTCTTTTGTATTCACACCAAATTGACAAACAGCCTTCACTATGTAAAATTTTCTAAACTCACTGTATGGAATTCTTGACCCCAAAATTTAAACCTTGAGCAACATTTTCAGTTTCTAGAATTTGCTGTTAATAGATATATCATGAAGATTTAAACGGTTTAATTTAACAGTGATACTTGATATTTTACCATGAAAAATGCGAGGTAAAAGTCTACAGCTGAACAACTTTTGTGGTCACGTCTCTTATTAATATATATTAAATAATAGGAACTGGAAACTGGCTGAAACTTTTGTGTTGCTCCTCCTGATTTTTTGGACAGTCTGCAACAAATCTATGGCCTTTCATTGATTTTTTGCAAACTGTGCAATGGGGTTTCTTCTTTAGTTCCTTGTCCACTGAAAGATCAGCAACTGAATCTTAAACTTAAAAAAGCAACATTCATAAGAACAAAACAGCAATAAATATTCAAGTTCTGTTAAAAGGGATGAAGGCACTTTATTGTTCCTCGACTACTGAATAATCCTCCCCCATCTGCTTATCTACTTTCAAAATTTTTCCAACCCCTATTTTTATTTTAACCTCCTTCATTAATTTTTGAAAATTCAAATAATAAGAGTAACACTTGTGTTTATTTTTTCATTTGTACATGACATCTTTTCAGTCCTCCATTAAAAAATTCTAACTTAGACATTAACTTGAAACCTTTATACTAAATAAATATGAATATCTGAAGCTGATCTTCCAGGGAGTTGTAATTAAGAAGTCTTGTCTTAACAAGAAGGGCTCATCAAATTCCTATTAAAGCATGTCTTACACGCTTGTACAGCTCACTGATATCGTCATTAGGCATACCATTGTAATCCTTGATCCTAGAGTGAAAGCATACGATACAGTGAATTCTGCAAGAGAAACCCCACACTATTGATTAACCTGTCCTTTGACAGCAAATATGTGACCCACCTCTGATAGATCGACTAGAATGTTACAAATACTCATCCACATTACATACGTGAAGATGTTCCTGGAACATCTTAAGTTTCTAATTTTTCCTGTCCTGTCTTTCCTTAAAGCATCCTCTTTGCTTTCTTTCACGAATTCAGCACACAAGATGGGGAAGTCATTCTTTTTAAATCTTTACAGGCTGCTTCCAATAGGTGCTCACTGATGCTGCTAACTGTTGTAGCAACCAGCTCCCTTACATAATCTATGGTATAAAAGTGCAAACTTTAGGGCCTTTCATCATCCTAGTAAAGGATTTTTTCTCTTTCTAACAACTTTTCTCCAGAATCTCCTAAAGTCCTAAAGTTACATCATTTTCAAAATACTATTGCAACAAAAATGAGCTGAGCAGCTCTTACAAAACTTTTGGCACACCCTCACATCCTTTATCCTTGCTTGGCCATTTTTAAACTTTGGGTAATGGATGGTTACTTGCAAAGAGCCATCTTCCAAAACTTTGACTTCTCTTTTAAAGTTGTAGTTGAAATGAAGTGCAGCTAAAGCATGTCTGTGGAGTAAAGAATGAAGTGTGACTTACCCAAATCTGAAATTTGGATGCAAAAAGCACACCCTTTTCTTTTTCCAAGTCAATTTAACACAGAGAGGCCTTTGTGATACAATAGTCTTTCTACATCTGAATTCCAGAACTGTCACAAATGGTGGCACACCATGTCTATTATAAGAGCAGAACAAGCTTGTAGAACAAATTAAAGGGAAAATGAACAAAATACAATAGGTCAAAATACAAAAGACAAATTATAAGCTGGGTTACATCTTGAAGTATGGTTTAAATATGGCTAATGAAAATATGGTGGTATCCGAAGGGTTAAAATCTTACTTAAACAAACAGTTCCATAATCTTGCTGACAAAAAAGACATAACTGAAATGAAACAATGGCTTTAGTCACTGGCATGATGGAGAAAATAACCTTGGAGACAAACATCAATGTTTTGGAATCCAAAAACGCGCTTTTGGAAAGTCATATTGCTCACTTGAATTCAAACCAAGAAAGCCATGAACAGTACTCCCACAGGTTGTCCTTAAAGTGCCTGTGGCACGATTTTTTTTATTGTCTCTATCAACTTTTGCTGTTACCTTTAACTCATATTTCAACTTTTTATCGAAAAAATCTGATACTTTGACGGAAAATTTACCCGTTAAATTCGGGCCTAGGCAAGGGCGCCGCAATCAAATCGTCATAGCTCAAGACGTCACAGGATGAACTCGTTTTGAAACTCTCACTTCGAATCAGCTGATAAGGCAGTAGGTCGCGTGAAGTTTTGAATTCATTTTCAAGTCCTTCTTGGCACAATTGTACACAAGCCGAAAAGATGCGAGGTTGGAAAATGTGGGGCCACGAATAGTGATGGACTGTCGCTTCACAAGTTTCCTAAGGAAGAAAAATTTCGTGTACTGTGGACGAAGTTCGTTCAGACTACCCGACGTGACTTAACTTGTCCTTCATCGTTTAGCGTTGTCTGTACTTTGCATTTCAGGCTGGACAGTTATGAAGCAAATCCAGTTGCCGATTCTCTTGGCTTTGGAACAAGGTAATTAATCTTTTTTAGCTTTTCGGCGCTTTTCGGCATAATTCGAACTTGCATCAAAGTGTAGGCCTAATGTCTAGGCCGACAGTTTTTGTATGGTACGTACCACGTTAGACGTCGGAGTATATTTTGATTGAAGAAAATATACCAATATAAATTCTTTCAGGCAAACAAAGTTGAACAGGAATGCAGTTCCTACAATTAAGAAAGGACTGGATAAAGGCTGCTCCGTGACAAAATTGCAAGACGTTGCGCCTCGCCAAGCAGCAAAAAAACTTGACCATGCCAGGGTATTTTACTTGTTCTTCCTTTATCGACAAGTAATTTATAAATTAATTTGTTTTTGATGCTTTGAATTTTCTAACAATTAATACGTTTTCATATAATTGATGCTTTTTTACTTATCTGATCTATTTGCAGGTTATCACAATGGCATGTGCAGAATCAACCTGCACTAACACAGTTGATGAACCATCGGTGGGAGTTGAGAGGAGATTCGTGAAAACCCAAGCAATAATTAAAGGGAGAAGTCAAGGTAATCAATCATTACTTTTGATGCCAGCAATTTTTTATTCTTTTGATGCTTGTAAATTTTATCACATGGCAATACAATATATAAATTCATTGCAATACAATAAATTGATTTCTTTCAGCACAATTTTCCTCTGGACTTTAATGTATACATTGATGCTGATTTGCACTTGTTTTGATGATATACTTATTCACATTAGGTATCCAGATATTTCCCAAAATGACATCCAGAGGTATCCAGTGCAACTTGTTGCAGCCATGCACATCCACACCACTGAATAGTGACAATGATAGTGACATTGAAGAGCTCCCCATGGATGAATTATCATACAATCCTTGGGACAGTACCATGGAAACCTCTGACGATGAGGATAGTTATATTGATGAGTATGTATGCTAAATGTTATTCTAAACTGCTTGCTTGATGAAATTGAGCTCTGGTGCTTAAATCAATTTGCATATCATACTATTAGATCTAAAATAGTTTTCACCTGCTTCTCATCAATAGAATATCAGATGAACAGTTTGGAGATCACCAGAGGAAGTTCATTGTTTATGAGAAGAAGCTGTTAGAGCTTTTCATCTTGTGCTCTTTTTGTTTTACTCTGGTTGTAAAACAACAATTTCATCAGTGGTTGGAGCAATGGTTATGGTAGAGCAGATGTGTCCAAAATGTGGTGAAATACGGATCTGGTCAAATGCGCCATACATTGGAGCCATACAATTATGTAATTTGATGTTGTCTGGTGCCATTTTCTTCTCTGGGTGTGTCCCTGGAAAAATTCTCAAGTGTCTTAAATTTCTTGGTGTTGCTGCATATAGGTAATTTTTTATCTGTTTGTTTTTATTTAAAAAAATTATGGGTGGATGTTTGCAATAATGGATTTTGTTGAATCTACAGTTAAAGCCATACAGATTAGTGCTATTTTTAATGTTATTTTTGTCCTCACTTATCACAATATTCAATCTTTCCTAGCCCAAGGACGTTTTTCAGACACCAGCAAGCCTACCTATGCCCATCAGTTACAAAGATCTGGAAAAATGAATCTGATTTCCTCAAGCAAGATATTCAGTTGAAGGGAAACAGTATTGTTGTAGGAGGTGATGCACGTTGTGATTCGATGGGTCATTCAGCAAAGTATGGTAGCTACACATTTGTAGACCTAAACATCAACAAAGTTCTAGATCTTGAGCTTGTACAGGTAAGTCAAATATAACACCCACAGGCACAGATCCAGACTGGTTGCACAGGTTTAAAAGAACCGGTCAAATTCTGAGAACTATTTTTCTTCGTAAATCTGGAATTTTATCTTAAATTTTAATTGCAACAATTGCTGCATCTCTCCCCGATTGACTACAGTTTTTACCTACCAAATTGAACCCCCACACAACAGCACTCCCTTGTTGAAAAGATTCTGACAGAGTTCCCAGCTTCCTAATTCATCTTTTATCCAAAAGTATCCGAGGAACTCAAAATCCGAGAAATCAGTCGCCACTCACAGTAATAATTTAGAGTGTGCTATCTATGTGCCAATATTGAAACCGGTGGCTATTGTTTTTTGAAAACCTGTGAAAACCAGTGCCCATATGTTTCCCTTATGCGAAAAAAAACCAATGACTAAAAAGCATATTCGATACCGCTTTGATACAAAATGATACAAAATGGAATAAAGATGCAAATGTAATTTAATGTAATTTTTTAGGACTATGCAGTAATGTAATTTTTTAAATTTTTAGTCAAATGAGGTTGCTAGTAGCTATCATATGGAGCTTGAAGGACTCAAAAGAATCATGGCACGCATGAAAGAAAGTCAACTGGACATCTCTGCAATAGTGACTGATGGGCACAAGTCAATCCAAAAGTGGCTTAAGGACAATTGTAACAGTGTCAATCACTATTTAGATGTATGGCATGTTGCTAAAGGTATTTTTTGAAAAATTGACACATGATTATATATTTCTTTGTTTGAGTCTCTTTTGAACCAGTAGTAGCAGCACTAAAACATTAAATTTTGCAATCTTGTACCTAAAATAGTTATTTTTTACTACAGGTCTTTCCAAGAAAATGGATGCTTTGGCTAAGAGGCCTCGTTGTTCTCTTCTTGGCAAATGGATCAAGAGTATCGTCAACCATATGTATTGGTGTGCAGCTAGCTCTGATGGTGATGGGGATTTAATGCTTGCAAAATGGGACTCTGTGGTTAATCACATCTGTGATATCCATGAGGGGCACTCAGAACTTTTTCCAAAATGCAGCCATGAACCTTCAGATGATGACCCAAGGAATTGGTTTCAGCCTGGTAAGTTTATATTTTCTTCCTTCATGTTGTAAGTTCTGAGTCTTTCCAGCAGATTTTAATTAGTTGGAAGTCCCCATGAATAGTAGCGGGGGAAGGGGTCTCTCCTCGATTAGTTTACCTTTTGAGAGATCTCCTCCTTTAAGAATTCCCTTCATACAATTTATTTCGTATTATTTTTTTGAAATTTGGTTAAGTAATTTGTTTGTACTAATAATATATGAATTGTATGCTGAGAATTTAAAATATGAAAGTGAAACTGTAAGCAATTGAGTTTATTCATTGGTATAATTATGCTTGAAATGAAGAAAGTGATAATCAGTAAAAAACATTCTAGTTTCACTTCTCAGTCTTGTATATAAATTTACAGGAACAGAAGAATACGAAAGGTTGAGTGAGCTCCTGCAGAGTACCCATTTACGAGCAAGCATTAAAAAACTTTCTCCATGTGGACAGACTTCTGCTGTTGAAGGTTACCATAGCTTGGTTAATCAGTTTGCCCCTAAGATGTACCACTTTTCTTTTCATAGTATGAATGCAAGGTTTGTAATGTGTTTATATGATTTCAGAACATTCTCCAGATATTATTCTCTTCAAAGAAACACTATGATTAGAAAAAGGTACCAAAAAAGGACATTCTATTTTCATTGTCAGACTTATGATTGCTGCTCTTCATTTCAATGAGAATGCTGGCCGTGCTCAGGCTGTTAACAAGGAGGGAAATCTTGAATACAAGATCGTGTTCCCAAAGTATAAGAAAGGTGGCACGATAGTCAGAAGGATTACAACCAATTGTACATATGGTGGGTATACCATAGTGGCACAATATACTTTTTGTTTGCTGTTTATTTGAGAATATGATGATATGCTTATTTTTTGCCAATATTCTAAAATATACAGGTTTTCTTTTACCCAGATTACGTTGAAAAACTGTTTGGAGAGCTGATGATGAGAGCTGAAAATGGTATTGCTGAGCCTCCAGAGCAACGCATGAAACCTTTGTGTAGTAAGTATGAACGTCCACATAAAGAGGAAGCAGTTCAGTCTATGCTATCTCGTTTTTGCAAAAAATAATTGTAAAAAAATGATTTTTGTTATACATAAAAAGATTACATGTAAATAAAACTAATTAAATATCAGGGAGTTTGAATCCTTGAAAAGTAAACTCTTCCTCATTTCCTGGAGGTTGAAAATGAGCTCGAATGCAAGAAACTGCACAGCTAGGTAGGACAACTCTAACAAGCCTGCCAAGATAGTGCTGTGGTGAACTGTTCTCATTAGTATTCTGTTTATATGCATTTTCACGTCCTCTTATTGTTCACACATAATTACCATTGTTTTAACGCATTTTAAATACTCTTTGTTGTTTCTAATTGCACTGCACATTAACTGATATCCATGGAAACAGTTTAGTTGATTTTAGTTTTGGTTATGGGGTGTGAATGTTGAGTTCGTAAGGATCGAGGAATGAAATTGAGTTAGAGAAATGAAAGATTTGTTTATTGATTGAATTCTCAAGCGGTGAGTTCGTTCCATTTATTTTATGTATAGAGATATCTTAAAGGGCCTCCATAGTGCCAAACCCATTGAACCATTTGGCGATATGCAATGTCACGAAATTTCTTATGTCTGGGTCCTTCATAAACATCTTCATACTGCTGTTTACAATAATGCCAGGCAGCTTCCAGGGTCCACACATTTGTACAAACAGCAGAAAACCCTGGGTGATCAGTTATGCAGGTCAAAGGTTCCCCTTCCCTTTCGTGCAACTTTTCCAAGACGATTGGAATTGAGCAGCAGCAAATATTTTCCTTTCTGGACTTTTGAGGCTGGCAATGCCCACACGAACACCTTAGGAAAAGAATGATAAATTAAATTTAGGTCATTTAAATAATTTTATGTCGCTGTATCCCGCTATATCCGTTTTTTTATTATATCATGTATCATTTAAACAGCATAATAGATGCCCCCTTTTATTAGCTAATAAGGCCTACAACCTTTGTTATCCGGGCTTTGTATGCGTCGCAAATTACATGTAGAATACGTTTAAAAGTAGAATTTTAATTTATCATAGAAATGTATTGATTAGTAGCCTTACCAGTCATCAACTTGTTGTCCCACTGAAAGAGGACCTTTATCGACTTTGAGCCTTGAAATAGGCCCTTCCTTTCCTGGCTTTGGTCGTGGCTCAAACATATAAGGTGCAATCTCCGCAACATCATCGCCCCTTTCGGCCTCTTCGTCCACTTCAAATTCTAAAAATGCATCACTGCTACTTCGTCGCAGCTTTCCTCCTCGCTGATAAAATCCTTGCTGTATATTTCACTCTTTTGTATTCAATCTACGAAGTACTCCCGATGTTTTTCTGTACGTTTACAACAACGAGACGAACACGAGTTCATCTCGTGACGTCACGACCCTCGCATTCTTGAAAAAAAAATGGCGGCCTTGGAACCGTAAAAATAGAAATAACTGCCTAGTTGTACACTAAAACAAAAAAATAACCCCAGCAACGTGTTCAGTGGGTTTTTTTACGCCAGAATCGATATTAAACGGGGAAAGAATGAAAAACGTGTCACAGGCACTTTAAGGATTGACGGCATTGGATTCCCTGAAGATAGCGATCAGATGTTAGTCATTGTTAGATTAACAACATGGCAACATAGAACTGCAGTTTATTGTGCATGAAAGAAGTCCAGCAAAGTCATAATTCGATTACATTTGACAAAACCAAGGCTTAACCTAATCAACGCAGCTAACAACCTATTCAAGGAGTACAGCGACTCATTTGCATTCACAGATGTAAATTGTTGGGCCCGTGTTAGGTTAAAGGCAAATTCTCCTTCTTCGAAACCATCGGTGATGTTAAGGCTTTAACCCTTGGAAATACTTGAAGACTGAAACCATGACTCGCCTCCATTGAGTCAATGAATGAACGACCCCTGGCTTTTTCAGTTGTGTTTTAAAAAAGTAACAGATTTTTGGCTATGACCTTAATCCAAAATTTCTATCCAGCTTCTGAAAACTTCTAGTCAACATCAGTGTTATCTTCACTTTGCATTTTTGGCCCTCCCTGTTCCAAATGCACAAAGAGGCGAGAAGAGATGACAAGATCGGGTGCAAGGAAGTCAAAACTTCCTATTTGCAAGCTCTTTACAGAACGTTCATTTATTAGAGGCAGGGAGGCTAATCAAGCAACAGACAGTAATTTTGATAATCAAGCTGATGACTCACTCCTAGATGATGCTGCTTCACCTGCCAGTAGATCATCTCAGTCTTTCATCCTTTCACCTGCTGAAGTTACAACCTTTATTACACGCCCATCTACAGCAAAAAAGCGGAGAAAAGGTGCTGAGAATATAGCTGAACCTCCCATGAACTATGAAACAGCTATTGTGGAAAAGCTGAACAACAAGCTTTCAGGAAATGCCTATTTTCTTTCGAGTCTGGAACTGGCTTTGGAATGGTTACCAGCAAGACTTAGGGCCTGTTTACACAGGACCTGATCCAAACAGCATCGGATCCATTTCGATCCGATCTCATTTTTCAGGGTGTGTTTACACGGGATCGGTTCCGTATGGATCCAAAAAGCACAGGTTTGTGTGCGCAATCCAAGTACGAAATTTTGGCGGCAATTATTCAATAGCAGAAGTGAGAAAAATGGAACCTTTACAGTGTTTGAAAGCTATTGCCTCCATCCTTTTTATTATGGTTTCTCATATGAGTTCATGGATTAACTTTATGAACATTATTCAAATTGAGCATCAACGGCGTCGGAAGGTATTATTGACAGCGATTCTCGGAATGGAGCCAAATTTCAGTGTTGCAGGGGCGAGGAATCAACTTGGCCTACTAGCAAGCAATAAAGTTGAAAGGAAAGCTAGAAGATTTTGGAAACGTCCTGGTAGAACCAATGCCTGGTGGCAAAGCTTTGAAAAAAATCATGTCACTGCAGAAGATGATCTTTGGGGTCGAACGATTCGAAATGGTTGTCTTTTGGCGCCAATTACAAGGATACCATATAGGATGCACCTCGTAATGGACAATTTTCGCCTCTTTTTGGATCCGTACCTGTTTGGATCAAATCCCATATCGTTTACACTAGACCTTTTTGAGATCGGATCCAAACGGGACCACCTTCAAAAGCGATCCCAAACGGGTACGGGTAGCAGATCCAAATTAGATCGGATCCGCCAGGTACCACTTTGGGTACGGATCCATTTGGATCCGATCCCGTGTAAACAGGCCCTTAATCAAAGAGCCAGAATAGAAATACAGCAAGTTTTATTCAGATTGGTATTTGGGTATGATGATTGATTTTAAACTTTTTTATTTCTTGTACTGTAGACCAGGCGGAGAACAGGGGAATGGTCCCCCGAGGGCGAAATTTATGGGACCAAGTGCTTTTGGTCAATTCGAGGGTGCTGATTTCGAAAATCGATGTTATACGGGGAATTTAGGGAGCCATCAGCCTCTTTTTCGTGTTTTAAGTCTCGTTTTCGTGTATTTCATTGAAACGAGTGAGAATAAAGTTTAAAGTGGAAATAGGTGAATTATTAAAGTAGATTTGGTATCCTTGCTGGGCATTAACATTAAACATTTGATTTTGGCTTGTCAGGGGGCAAGCAGCCTCGTTTTCACAATGCTAATACTTTGATGTCAAATTACGTGTAAAATGAAGTCTTAACATAGCAAGAAATAACAAACGTTTTTCAACGTAATTCATCTACATCTACCAATTACTGTCTTTCTGCTATAAAGAAGATTCTGACAGGGTGTTAGGCCGGAGTGAGAGGTCATGAATATGTTCACAAAAGAGAGACGAGTGAGAACCGAGTGATTGGAACCCAGGCCAAGCCGAACCTTTAGTTTTTTCCAGGTTTCTGGGTACATCACTTTCAGAAATAAGTAAAAGTAAATTACTTTTACCAAAGGAAGTTTTATTAGAAGTGTTGTCTATACCTTGTCAAAATATAACAAACACTGTAGAAGAAAAAGTCAGCAGTTGCTTGTTGACTTTGGAGGCAAGGGGAAGAGATCGAATGAATGAATTTAAAGAAAGGTTAACCAAAAGTCCTGCAGATAAAGACTTCTTTGGTCCCATCAAGAGAGAGCCTCTGACAACCTTCAAGGACTCATCAGTTAAGACTAGGCTAAAGATTAAAGGAAAAGAAAAAGTGCTCACATTTCAGAGAGACATTCTTGGCATTCTAGTTGCATACTCGAACAAGCATGAAGCAGGTGTAGATCTCGAGACCAACCAGTCATTTCCGCTTGCACCAGTATCGATGCCTCTCAGCACATCAGAAAGACCGTTAAGAGCAAACTGTATGAAGCTGCAATGAGCGACTTATCCGTCGTTAGTCCAGATGAACTACCACCTACGGAGATATTGAATACGCACTTCTTGGACCTTGCCGCAGCCATTCAAAGTTTGGTTGGCCCTACATCTACTATAAGACAAATGACGACCAACATACTTGCTTCAATTCCAGTCCGGTACACACAAATTGTTTTTGTCTGTGATACATATAAGGACAACAGCATTAAAGGTGGTGAAAGAGTTAAGAGGGGTGTCAGTGGGAGATACGTTTTGACGAGCCCTGACATGAAGGTACCATATGACTTTAACAGCTTCCTCTGCAACGGCAAAAACAAAGGAATGTTGTTTGATCTTCTTTAGTTAGCAATAATTGAGGATCGCAGTCAACTATTTAGCCGGACAGTAATGATCTCCAACAAACTACGAAAGTTACAGAGGGTAGTGTTGAAGTTCTCAAACACTGGGCCAGTAACCTCGAAGAAGCAGACAAAGTTGGTGGCACTGGTTAAAGCTTGGTACTTTCCGCCCGATCATGCAGCCATGATTCGATCTCCTTCTGGTGACATCGGTATTCTAGCATTGTTCTTGTCACACGAATTCGGCGGAACGAAAATTCTAGTAGATAATGGTGTTGGAAAACAACGAAAGATAATCGACATGACATGATCTGGCCTTGAGATGGA